CATCACCCTGACCAACCTACAGCCAGCTCCCAGAGTCTGCTCAGTGCTGGGAGCAAGGTCGCTGAGGTGTGTCCATGGGATGCTCCTGATCCAGATGTGTATAAACCTGACAGCAGCTCCAAGGCCGAGATCTGTCCCTGGGAGGTAACTGAGAAAATTCCTGAGAAAGGGTCATGGAGACAGGATAGAAAGAGGGAATCTCAAGAGGAGGGAAGAACCCCAGAAAAACTAGAGCCCAAAAGTGTGACAGTCCAGAAAACATCAGAGATAGCTGACTTTGAGAAGCAGGAGGCTGGGGAGAGCCAAGATTTGAGGGGTTTGTCTTCACAATCAGACCCACATGCTTGTGACAGAAGCAAAGGCAATTCTGAGACAGCAGGCAGAGTGGGGGCCAGGGTGGCAGAAGTGTGTCCATGGGAAGTGGAAGAGACTCCCTCTGCCAAGAAAGCAGAGATCTGCCCTTGGGAGGTGGGTAAAAAAGCAGCAGGGGAAGGGGAACTAGAGCAGGGGGTGAGCAGAGAACCACAAGGGCAAGGAGAGGTGTTCCTTGCAAAGGCAGAATCTGGAGGGACTGAAGGACACTTTTCAAAAACAGCAGCAAAACCTGGCAAAGAACAGCTGACAGTCTGCCCTGAGAAAGGCACAGGATCAGGAGAGTTCTTCCCACAGCAAGATGCTCTAGACACCAACCAACCCACAGTCAGTCCCCACGGAGCAAGCAGCATGGGGAGCAAGATAGCAGAACTGTGTCAATGGGAAGTAACAGATCCGGAAGGAAACAAAATAAGAGGCATCATGGCAGACATCTGTCCTTGGGAGGAAACTGGAGCCCTGTTGGAGGAATCTGGCCTCCTGGCTTTAACAGCAACTCAGACAGAAAATTTCCCCACAGCTCCTGAAAAATCATCATGCCTTTTAGTTCATAGACCTCTGGAAAGGTTCCTTTCAGAGAGCAAGAGCTCCCACCCTAAGGTGAGCAAGCCAGTCAGTACTCTTACTCTGGGAGGTATCAGAGAACCACAGGGACCTTCAGGGCTTGGGCCAAAGACCTGCTTAGGCACAGAATCAAGTCTCCAAGAAGGTGAGGCTCAAAGGTCTTCCTCCTTAATGGAAGACCAAGGACAAGTGGCTTCTGAAGCTCAAGATGAAGAACTCACCCCTCTTGTCTATCCTTGGGACTTGGAATAAGCTCTGTCAAGTGAGGTCAAACAGATCTAGCCTTCAGGAACCAAAGTCCTTTCTAAATCTTAGTGTTTCCAAAGAGCTGAATCAAAGACACTTGACCACTTCTAAGAAGGCCAAAGGTCCACTCATTCAAAATAAAACTATCCAAGAAGGGTTCAGCTCAGATCCCAGGGAAAGTCCCACCCATTCTTTGCTTTTAACTTTTCTTCCTGATTGAGGATACAAAGGCTGGACCCTCTACTTCCAGAGACTCCTCCCACCCACCCATCTAACATACTTGACACAAGCTACTGGAGTCTGGATACTCACTCATGTTACTGATGAAAAGAAGTCAACAGTGCCCAGAATAGGGAAACTTAATTCTTCTCTGGAGTCTATAAAAGAGTGATTTTTTTAAGAAACAAAAACCACCCAAGGAATTGGCAACATAGGGACTGTGGAGCCATGTAAGGTTATAAAGTCACTCTACGCAGCTTCAGAAGGTACTTAATTCAAGTTGAGAGATAAACTGGGGGGAAACTAAAAGGACTCAAAACAGGTGCCTAAAAAGCCTTAAGGACCTTGTCTTTTGATTCTGAATCTCCCATTTCTTCTCTCTACCCTGCCTGACTATTGAAATAGAGACAATCAGATACTCTGCCTTCCATGCCAACATCTGGCATCCAAAGTGATATCAGACAAAGAGAATAGAAAAGGAAAAGCAATTTCTCCAGGTCCTCCCCACACTGGGAAAGGTACTGATATCCTTAGTATGCCTCTTGCTAGCTTTCTTGGGTGACCTCCTCCTCTTCCTGACCCAGCTCTTGCTGATCTTCAGAGCTCATCTCACTGGCTCATTCAGTGCTCTCCTCCTAGCCTTTCAACACTATGACTATCCCCTCTTTTGCCAGTGTAACTGGAACCAAAGGAGAAACTGTGGTTCTGATGCAAGAACTGCTTCAAATCACTTACTCAGTAACAAGAGGCCACATCAATCTCCTTCCCAGAGGAACCCTACAAAGGAAAGAGGTCATTTATAGCCAGCATTCCCAACGACTTCTGCACTCAGAAAGAGCAGAACTCCAGGGCAGGTCAGAAGCCAGGATTGAGAAATGGCCTGGTGTTAGGACAAAGGCTACTTTCTTAGGCAGCTCTTTCTTAGCTCTCTCAACAGTCAGAGCTCAGGCTACTCTTGCTTAAGCAGTGCTAGATAACAAAGTGCTGGGATTAGATGATACTACCAAAGGAAAGTGAAGAAGAAGAAAAACATACCAAGAAGTTCTGGAATTGGCAGAGGTGAGGTGGGGTGTGGAAACTGGCAGGCTAATGTGGCAAAACTGTCCGTGGCACTCAAGATGGCAGTAAGCCCCAATCTCTAACAGTACAGGTATAGATGTCATTCATGGGGAGAAAAGACAAAACAAGACCAAATATCCAGGAGGAAAACAATGAGTTTGCATGTAAAGATTCTGGGTAGTTATAGTTTCCAGAAAAAGTAGCAAAGTGCTCCATTTCCAAAAAGGAGCAAAGGAATAGAGTAACCTCCCCTCCTTTGGGGTTCAGAGGCCTTTGTTCCCATATGGAGACCCTCCCACTTACTCTGGCTTTTACAGTAGTAACTTAAATATGTTGTTACTCCATGTCCTGGCTGCTTAGCCCCACAGCTTCAGAGCTTATGTGGACTTTGCCAACTGTGCACCCCAGAGCAATCCTATTGGGTGTGGTATAGCTGGGAAAAGCAAAGTTGCCCCCACATTCAATTTTGTGAAATAAACCATGGGGAGAAGGAATAAAAAATGCTTTTTCTCAACCACTGCAGTTGGCTCTAGCTTATTCCTAATGGTGATTTTCTTTTTCAACAAAGGAACAACAGATAGATAAGATAAAACAAGGCCTGCTCCAAAGTCCAGGGTAATAACACTACAGTCTACAGGACTTCAGGTCATCTGACTAATTCTCTACCAGTATCCAGAAATGTAGCTGACACTGCAGATGGTCTCTGACTGATCCTTCTAGTCAACCCTTCACATCTGGACCATTCGCTCAGCTGGATTTGATCCCAAAGGGAAATGAAAATTGCACTTATCCTCTGGCTCCGGATGGCAGTTATTGCTTGGATGCTATTTAGGATTATCTAAAGACCCCCCAAGACAGATCAAGGGGAATATGTAAAACAGCTTAACTGAAACATTGTTTTTACACATTCAAGAGAAACCAATGTAACTTTTACCCATTAAATGTGCTTTTTTTTGTTTCTCTGTTTCCCTCTCCTGTCAGGATTACATCCCCTTCCTCCGAATGCCCCAGCTATGGATCCTGTTCAAAGCACTTCTCATTTTGCCTTAATCCAGGGCTCAAGCAAATAGGATGCAACCAAACCTCACTTGGGCAGTAATGCTGCAAAGTGATGTACATTTTAAGCCAAAAGGGTCAAGACTTAAGTAGTGTGATGAGAGTGGCTGCTTTGTATTATCCCATCAATGCTGTTTCCCCTCTAAGCATATACGACGATTTCTACCATCAGCATTTAAAAGCTGTTGATAAAACACCAGTTTTGCCCAGTAAGACCTGGTCTGTTTGCTGCTTTGCTGAAATGATAATTATAGAGAGACTAAAAAATAGGTTATTTATTTTTGACCTGATTCCAGCTTCTATGGACTGTACTTTCAAGACAAGATCAGAACAGCTTATTTCTTAGTTTAAGTGATAGATAGGATGGGAATGCAGAGTGCTGGCCTAATATGTGTGAGGCCCTACGTTCGATCCCTAGTTCTGAAAAAAAAAAAAAAAGGTAAGTCTCCTTAAAAAGAAAATTCTATGCTTGAAACAAGAGAAAATGTGAGAATTAAAGGCCCCATTTTTAAAGAGGAGCCCATACTGAGCTGATGAAAGCAACAGCACTATGAGCCAAGCTTACTGCTGGGCAAGTGAGATTTGCCTTGTCATTACTCAGATGACCCAGGACACAGAGCATATGAAGTCCCACATCCTTTTCCTAACAGCCCAACTGGAGCTAAGAAACAAGGAGGGGTGGGGCTGTTTTCTGGTGCATTTACCTTCCCAATTCTGGGCTGGAAAGAATAGCTGCCATCTCTAGGAGGTGCTAGAAATCAGGGAACCAAGTCTTGCTGATGAATTTCCCAAATGTACTAACCCTTCTGTGCCCTTGCCTCCTCCCAAACTTCAAGGGGTCACACCAGGAAGCAGCTACTAATTAAGAACACAATCCAGGGGCTGGGGATGTGGCTCAAGCAGTAGCATGCTTGCCTGGCATGCACGCGGCGCTGAGTTCGATCCTCAGCACCACATACAAATAAAGATGTTGTGTCTGCCGAAAACTAAACAAATAAAAATATATATATATAAAAAGAAAACAATCCAAAAGCTAAGGAATAAATTATTTCTTTATATTTATATTCTTCTACAAAGTATAAATGCTAATTCAGTAAGTCACTCTATGAGAAAAAGACCCTCTAAAGTGATACCCAATTTTATGAACACTAATTATTCTCCCAAGTCTGGATTTCCTAGAAGTCAGATCACTCACAACTAGGCTTGTCTTCCACTTCTCCACTTGAAGGTTGGCCTATTCCCCCAGTTGAATCTTAACTGGGGAAAATATAGAGAACCCACAAAAAAAAAAAAAAATGAAACCAGGGATGATCTAACCATTGAGCTACATCTCTAGTCTTTTTCTTTTTCTTTCTTTTTTTTTTTTTTGTTATGAAACAGGATCTTGTTAAGTTGCCTAGGCTGGCCTCAAACTTACAATCTTCTTGCCTCCCAAGTCACTGGGTTTACAAGTGAGTGTCACCACACAAGGCACAATACCAAAATTTGTCCAACACTCTGATAGTATTTTATTTCAAACTCTGATCTCTGCCCAGTGATTACAAAAGAATGTTGCCTATTAGCTCCCACAGTCTCTGCTGTGAAAAAATGTATCAGATGTTTGTTCAGTGAAACATATTGTCTTTCATCTAGACTCAGAAGCTAGACATATGATTTTAAAAATAAAAAGGGTCCATGGCTGTGCATACTAGCCAACGACCTGGGCCCAGCCATCAGACATGGTTGTAAGGATGAATCTGCTCAAAAGATCCAAGCAAGGCAGGAGGAAACAGCGGTGGTGTAAAAGAGATGGATGACTTCACAACGTCCAGAATCATCATCACCAGTGCTTTACCCCAAGAGTCATTTTTGTCGTCAGGCTAGCTGAGACTTATGGTTCTCTCTTTGTGCCTCTTCACATTTTCCCCAAGGTTCCAGCTGGGGGCCAGGAATCATCACCGTCTGAAAGATAGTAGTAGGCTGAGTTACCTGCCAGCCAAGACCATGGCTTACCCAGAAGGCTTCATCCCTGCCTCTACCCATCCCATAACAAAGAGTTCCTCTTCTCCACTGTTGAATCTTTCCCTCTCTCCTTAGGTGGAGCCCAAGAGGACTTAGGATGCCCATCTATTGACTGAGGTCTCTTCTTCCTCTGTGGCGCTGGGGATAGAACCCAGGGCCTTGTACATGCTTGGCAAGGGATCTACCTATGAGCTATACCCTCAACCCCTGCCTCAGGCCTCTTAAACTGTACAAGCTTCCTTACCTTAAGAATGGGCTGCTTAGGGGGTGCCCATGGGGGAACAATCTTGCCGTGCATTCTCCAGCTCCCATAGGGGTTCAGCAGGTGTTTTTCAAACACAATATACTCTAAAACATCCTTGGGTACATCTTCTTGTCCATACATCAACCGCCCAAACCGATCATAGATGGCTAGAGTCTGTAAGGATGAAAGCAAATCTGGCATGTTAGGTTTTTTTGTTTTGTTTTCCTTTGTTTTGCCAAACAACCATTTTAGAAATAATCTTAACAAGAATTTTTAAATTTTCAAAAAAATTTTTTAAATCTCAGAAGTCTAGGGCTGGGCTTATAGCTCTGTGGCAGAATGCTTGCCTCATACTTATGAGGTACTAGGTTCAATCCTCAGCACCACATAAAAAATAAATAAAACAAATAAAGATATTGTGTCCATCTTTAAAAAAAAATCTCAGAAGTCTGAATCAAAGACTATTTAATCAACTGCTGACACTTTTTTCTTAGAGATTCTTTGATGGGAAAGGGCAGAGTGGGGTTAACACTAGGAAGGGTGAGAGAGAATGTCCTTACACCACACCTTAGTAGGGCTAACATTATTAGCATTAGGAAGGGGCAATGACAGAAAGAAGACCACAGTGAACCTTTCCTTAGAACCTATAGTACTGGGCTGGGGATGTGGCTCAAGCGGTAGCGCGCTCGCCTGGCATGCGTGCGACCTAGGTTTGATCCTCAGCACCACATACAAACAAAGATGTTGTGTCTGCCGAAAACTAAAAAATAAATATTAAAATTCTCTCTCTCTCTTTAAAAAAAAAAGAACCTACAGTACTGGAACTGGAGATGCAGCTCAGTGGTAGAGCCCCTGCTTAGCATGCATGAGGCCCTGGGTTCCATCCCAAGCATCACCAAAAAAAATTTAAAAAAAAATCCCCAAACCTCAAGTCCTGAACTAGAAGAAGATTCTGGAAGAAGATTCTAAATCTGAGAGAAAAGAGAAGCTGGAAGGAAAGCAAACTGGTGACTCTACCTGCCGTGTGTGCATGCGGACAGTAACCTGGCCATACATGTTGCTCTGGTTCACCATACTCGAGCAGCGAACCTGCACCACCTGGGCTGGCTCTAAAGATTCCACGAAGCTCCAGCGGACAGTCTTATACTTGATGTCCCAGACCATATTCTAAGGGCAGAGAAGAACAAGTTCAACTGGGTTTCCCCCTCCCTGTAAGGTTGCTGGAACTGCCACACTTGCTCTCACTTCCTGCAATACTACAGCCCACAGGCAGTGTTTTCCACCAAATGCTCTCTTGTGCCTTTTATTCCCAAGTCATGATTAAGCTACTGCTCAAGCTTTAGACTTTTCATCTAAATCACCTCCCCTGAGACCTACCTATCTCAAGGACCCTTCAAGTGAAAACCGCATTCCACACTATTGCCTGCATACCCAATGAGCCATATTTCCTCTCATTCACTTGCATAATCTATTAATGACTGCATATTTCTCTTCCCTCTCCCCTCACCTTTTAGCAGTAAAGGTAGGAATTTCACCAAGACCTATTGCTCTAATTATCCCTGGGGGGATTGATAGAAACTGAAGTTCTACAGATAGAAACTACAGCTGAATTTGTAGAAAACGAAGTTCTTATTCTTGAACTTCTAACTGAAGCATAAAGCACCCTCCCTTTTTTTTTTTTTTTTTGGTACCAAGGATTGAACTCAGGGGTACTCAACCACTAAGCCACATCCCCAGCCCTATTTTTTGTATTTTCCTTAGAGACATGGTCTCACTGAATTGCTTAATGCCTTGCTATTTGCTGACGCAGGCTCATAAAGCCCTATTCTTGAGAGCCCCTAGTGCACCTAAGGCCCGTTACCAAATAAGCCTTGTGAACCCTTGTTAAATCCTTTGCTGCATTGCAGACATGTGTAGGTATGGCTTCACACAGCCTACTGTGACCTCAGGATCTACACCTCATGGTTTCAGCGCTGTCTACTGAGGTACTCCTGCTTTTCTTCATTTGCTATGGATCTTACCAGACTCTGTGCCACGTCATTATCATTTAGCTAAAACTAAAAAAATTTAAGCCAGTGCCTTAAACTTACTACACTTTCAAATCTGATCCTTCATGCCAGGTGTAGTTGGTGGTACATGTCTGTAATCTCAGCAGCTCAGGAGGCTGCAGCAGGAAGATTGCAAGTTCAAAGTCCGCCTCTGCAACTTAGCAAGGTCCCGTTTCAAAATAAAAATAAAAAAGGGGTGCAGATATAGCAGTGAGTTGTTCAGCACCCCTGGGTTCAATCCTTGGTACCAAAAATAAATAAATAAATAAAAGAAGAATTAATTGAAAAGAAAAACAAAAAACTGATCCTTTGTAAGACAACACATCTATGCTCTGCCCTTCAGGTATCCAGCAGCTCTGAGAAGGATGAAAACCTACCGGAAAACAGTGTTCAGTTACCAAAGTATGAAGCCGGTCATGGTCTGAGCTAGGAAAGAGAGAGAGAGAGAGAGAGAGATATCACTGACACCTTCTTTTATGATGCCCTGTGTGAAAGTTGAATATGGACCTAAAAGTGAAAAACAATTCATTTTTACATTTTTCTGCACATGTATTGTAAGCCAGAAGACATGTTAAGTTCTAGAGACACAAAAATGAACCCTTCTTATCTATTATCCTACCTCAGAAGTTTTCAGGAGAAATAAATTCCATTTTTGATGAGCTCTCTTAGTCTTTTTTGGGTTTGTTTGTTTATTTTTGGTATCGAGGACTGAACTCGATATGGCACTCGACCACTGAGCCATATCCCCAGTTCTACTTTGTATTTTATTTAGAAACAGGGTCTAACTGAGTTGCTTAGCCGTTGCTGAGGTTGGCTTTGAATTTGTGATTCTCCCATCTTAGCCTCCCAAGCTCCTGAGTATTTATTTATTTTAAGGCAGGGTCTTGTTAGGTTGCCTCTGTTGCCCAGGCTGGCCTTGAAGTTGGGATTTTCCTGCTCAGTCTCCGAAGTAGCTGGGACTATAGGCACACACCACCATGCCTGGCTTAAGTTCATTTAATGTTAGAAGAGAACTTACACTGAAAAATAAAAGGAAGACATTCTGAAACATAACAGACAGAACTCATGTGAACCTACTCCCACTGCAAACATCTAGAAATGCTGGGTAAAATATAATGGATACACACACAAACATAGGTTGCTTTTTCACTTAGGAGTAGGTTATATCCTGGTAAACCCATCATTAAATTGAAAATACTGAAAGCTAAAGGCATACTTAATACACCTAACCTAACAATATCTTATAGTAACAAAGTATACCACAGAGTATTGAATGGTGGCTTCCCCTGCAGCTGCACATCATCATGAGACAAAATCATATGCATATTGGTAACTCAGGAAAGATCAAAAATCAAAATTCAAAGTATGGGTTTCTACTGAATATATATTACTTTCACACCATCATAAAGTAAAAAAAAAATATCCTAAGTTGAACCATTGTAAGTCAGGGATCATTTGCACACACATTTTTAAACAGGCAAGCCTAATTTACAAGGAAAAAAGGAAAATCCCCAGATGTAAGATATGAAGAGGGATCCAAAAACATTCAAAAAGGAAAAAATGCAACCTGATAGACTCTATGACAGCATGAAGGATGACTGAGCAATCCAGAAATAAATAGCACATTCTTTTTTTTTAATATTACTTTTTAGTTGTAGTTGGACACAATACCTTTATTTTATTGATTTATATGTGGGGTGAGGATCGAACCCAGGGCCCCGCATGTGCTAGGCAAGCACTCTATCGTTGAGCCACAACCCCAGCCCCTACATAGCACATTCTTAAATGGGTCAAAGAAGACAAGGGATATCAGAAAATACTCTGAGATAAATAAAAAATACAATATACCAAAACCTATGGGATGTAGCAAAAGTAATACTAAGAAGAAAATTCAGAGATGCAAATGCCCACATTAAAAAAGAAGAGTGGTCAAGTATATGCTTAGCATGGGTTTAATACCTGTAGCATGGGTGCGTACCTGTAGTCTCAGGGACTGAACAGCGTGACATATATTCGTCATGGGTTCCAGAAACTGGAAAGCCCAAGATCAGGACATTGGCAAATTCGATGTCTGGCATGGACCCATTCAACGTACATTGGTGCCTTCTTGCTAAGTCCCCAAAGGGCAAAAAGTTCTCTCAGGCCTCTTTTATAAGGGCCCTAATTCCATTCATTAGGGCTCTGTTCTCATAATTTGATCACCTCCCTAAGGATCCAAAGCCTAATACGATCACCTTGGCTGTTAAGATTTCAACATATAATTTTAGGAGGACACAATGATTCAGAGAACAGCATTAGAATAGGCAAATTTATAAAGTGAGAAAATAGAATGGATGTTAACAAAAGAGAAGGGAAAATGGGTAATTATTGCTTAATGACCATAAGGTTTCTGTTTGGGATGATGAACAAGTTCTAGAAATGAATAGTGATAATGGTGGTGCAACAACCACTGAATTATACACTGAAATCGTTAAAATGGTAACTTTTATAATGAAGCCGGTCATGGTCTGTTATATTTTATATTAGGCATATTTATTACAAACATGTATAAATATATAAAAGATGTTAATAAAGATATATATATCTATATATATATAGAGAGAGAGATATATATATATATACTTTTTATTTTTTGGTACCAGGGATTGAACCCAGGAGTTCTTAATCACTGAGCCACACCTCTAGCCCTTTTTTTTTTAATTATTTTTTTAGTTGTAGTTGGACGCAATATCTTTATTTTATTTATTTTTATATGGTGCTAAGGATCGAACCCAGGGCCTCACACGTGTTAGGCAAACGCTCTACTGCTGACCCACAACCCCAGCCCCACCCCTAGCCCTTTTAAATTTTTATTTTGATACAAGGTCTCACTAAATTGCTCAGGACCTTGCTAAATTTTTGAGGCTGCCCTTACACTTGTAATGCTCTGTCTCAGCCTCCTGAATCAATGGGATTACAAGTGTGCATTACCACACCCAGCTAAAGATGTGTGTGTGTGTGTGTATTTTTTTTTGTAGTTATAGATGGACACAATAGATAGATAAATAAATCTATCTATCTATCTATCTATCTATCTATCTATCTATCTATCTATTTATTTATTCATTTTGTGGGGCTGAGGATGAAACACAGTGCAGGCACTCTACCACTAAGCCATAACCCCAGCCCCTAAAGGTATAGTTTTTGACATGATTATATCTTTAATTTTTCTTTTTCTTCTTCCTTTTAAGAGAAGGTTTTTCCATATATGTTGTCCAGGCTGGCCTAGAACTCCTACCTCACTCAGTCCTCCAGCCTCAATATCCCAAGTAGCTAGGATTACAGGTGTGCTCCATGGTACCCAGCATATCTTTTGATTCTTAAAAAATAAATATTTGGGCTGAGTAAGGTGGTGTGGGTCTATAATTCCAGCTACTGAGGAGGTTAACACTGGAGGATTCCAAGTTCAAGGCCAACATGGGCAACACAGCAAAACTCTACTCAAAATCAAAAAATGTAAAAGGGCTAGTTATGTAGCTCAGTGGTAGAGCATGTGCTTAGCACTGCATAAGGCCCTGGACTCGCTCCCCAGTACCAAAAAACAAAACTATTTTTTAGAAAAATGCAGGCATACAAAAGTTAAGAACTAACCAAAATCAAAAAGAGGGGAGAGAAAAGGCAACTGAAAACAATTGTATAGCATATATAGATTGTGGAGTTACCAAAGATTTTAAAATAAGTGTAATAATATGTTTAAGAATTCAGGGGCTGGGGATATAGTTCAATTGGTAGAGTACTTGTCTTGCATGGATAAGGCCTTGGGTTCAATCCCCAGTACCACCAAAAAAAAAAAAAAAAAAAAGAATTCAGGAGCAACCACCTGCTATTGGGTCCCCCCTTGCTCTGTGGGAGCTCTGTCACTTTTCTCCTTACTTAAATAAATCCTATTCCTTTCATTCTTGCAAAAAAACAAGGAAAGAAAATAAATTAGAGCCAGGCACAATGGCACATGCCTATAATCCCAGCAGCTCAGGAGGCTGAGCCCTAAACAACCTTAGCAAAACTCTGTCTCAAAATAAAAGAGCTGGGGACATAGCTCAGTGGCAAAGCACCCCTGGGTTCAATTCCCAGTACCAAAAAAAAAAAAAAAAAAGAGAGAGAGAGAAAAGAAATTAGGTGACACGACAGATGTGCATCTGTAATCCCAGCTACTTGGGGTGGGGAGCACAGGGAGTAGCTGAGCCAGAAGGATATTTGGCCTAGTAATTCAAGGCCAGCTTGGGCAACATATCAATACCTTGACTCTCTCTCTCTCTCTCTCTTTTTTTTTTAGTTGTACTTGGACACAATACTTTTATTTTATTTATTGTATGTGGTGCTAGGCGAGCACTCTACCACTGAGCAACAACCCCAGCCCAAAAAACCTTGACTCTATAAAATAAATAAATAAATAAAAAACATAATAAAGTAAGAAGTTAGATGACAAGATGGAAAATTTTAGCAGAGAAACTGGACACAGTAAAAAACAACAAGGGGCTGGGGATGTAGCTCAAGCGGTAGCACGCTCGCCTGGCATGTGTGTGGCCCAGCTTCGATCCTCAGCACCACATACAAACAAAGATGTTGTGTCCGCCGAAAACTAAAAAATAAACATTAAAAAAAAAAAAAACCCAACAACAACAAGGGCTGGGATTGTGGCTCAGCGATAGAGCGCTTGTCTAGAACAGACGGGACCCGGGTTCAATTCTCAGCACCACATAAAAATAAAGGCATTGTGTTGTGTCCATCTACACCTAAAAAAATATAAAATATTTAAACAACAACAACAAAAATCAAGTGAAAAAAGATCAAGCTAAGTTTAACAGCAAATTACATACATTAAAAAGACAAGAAGACAAACCAGAGGGCTGGGGATGTGGCTCAAGCGGTAGCGTGCTTGCCTGGCATGCGTGCGGCCTGAGTTCGATCCCCAGCACCACATACAAAACAAAGATGTTGTGTCCGCTGATAACTAAAAAATAAATATTAAAATTCTCTCTCTCTCTCCCTCTCTCACTCTCTCTTTAAAAAAAAAAAAAAAAAAAAAAGACAAACCAGAAATAATCAGACTAAAGATGTAGAGACGGGAAAAAAAAATGACTGGAAAAATACTAAAAAAGAGCCTAAAACACATTTGGCACATAGTGAAAAGCTCTAACATATGTCTATTGAAAAATCACACAATGAAACGAAAAAGTAGAGCAGAAGCAACATTTGAAGAGATATTCTGAGAATCTTCCAACACTGAAAAAATACCCTAAAATTTAAAAACCAATAGGAAACATACCAGAACAAAGACACACACACAAATACACACACACAAACACACACAACTGTAAGTACATCATAGTAAATTGCTGAATACTCAAGGGAGAGAAAAAAATCTTAAAAGCAGCCAGATGAAAAGAAACTTTAACTTCAAAGAAACAACTAGAAAATAGATAACTTTCCAATAGAAACAGCAATAACCAAAAGATTATATCTTCAAAATGCTCATAGAAAATAAGAAAGAAGGAAGGAATTCTTTCAGGTTTGGGAAGGGAAGTAAACAAAACATGAAAGCTACATAAAAAGAAACCAGAACCAAAAATTTAGACCACAATAGCATGGAAGGGGGATAAGGCAGTGATTAAAATTAAAGTGTTTGCTGGGCACAGTGGCACACATCTGTAATCCCAGCAACTCAGGAGACTGAGGCATGAGGATCATGAGTTCAAAGCCAGCCTCAACAACTTATCGAGGCCCTAAGTGATCCAGCAAGACCCTATCTCAAGATAAAAATGTTCTGCCAGACATGGTGGCCTACACCTGTAATCCAAGCTACTTGGGAGGGTATGGCAAGAGGACTACAAGTCTGAGGCCAGCCCGGACAACTTAGCAAGACTTTGTATCAAAATAAAAAGTGCTGGGGGGGGCTGGGGATGTGGCTCAAGCGGTAGCGCGCTCGCCTGGCATGCGTGCGGCCCGGGTTCGATCCCCAGCACCACATACCAACAAAGATGTTG